CCAGTCGTATTTTTACTTATGCTGTCCTAACTAATTTGAGCCATCACGACTGGTTTCGTGCATAAGTGAACATAAACAGGCACATACAGATACACATACAGAGACAGACACACTCACAGGCTTCGAGGTTGGCATATGACCGTAACTAACCAAAGCACTTTACACTTCATCAAAGAGGCCGCTTTTTAGGGATTTGCCGGTGAGTTTTCTTGACTCGTTAGCTTGAATTTGGTTGTAAGAATGATAGCTTGATCTGATGATGTTCGTCATATGTCGGATCAAATCTTGGTACCTTTTCATCGGAATCGAAGGAGATTACCTCGGCAACTGCGTCGGCATGAATGTTCCAGTAAAGCCAATCGACAGCTGGCCAAGAGGAATCCGCCGTCGTCTTCTGGTGGAATCGGCCTTCGAATTTCTTCACTCGAAATGGAAATAACAATAGATTCCTCTAACTCCAACTTTTCTTCGCAATCTATCAGATAAGCTAGTTAATGCAACAAATATGTCCAGAGAATGGTTTGCCTCATTTGAAAGACCACATTTCAATCCTCTTTCCACTAAAAGTGGAAGTCGGGATAAAGTGTCGAGATTATACGCTGCACTAGCACAGTTCGAGTCCCGCGAGGGATGATGATGAGACTTGTCCAGGCGAGGTCGAAACTGCAGTCCAGTTCAGCCCGAGTGGGGAGGTCATGTGAAGTTCAATGGAGACATGAGGCGCAATTATCTGATTGTAGAGAATTTCAGCTTCCAGTCTATCAATACATTAAACAAAGTGAAAACATTGTTGTTTTGTGAGTTCGAGGCAGACTTCAATATTCTCAGATGGAAGCTGCTATGCTTAATTGCCGATTTCGTATATTGCAACTCACGTGTTTCCCAACTAGTTCTATTTTATTTCCCATCACTTTTGCTTTCTCTACACAATACACTTTGTTTATTTACACTTCTCCCCCAACTCTCACTTTTGAAACCGGGCACAGATCATGAATCGATGTGCTCCAATGGAGCTGTTCTGGAGACGATTCAACAAACTTATGCTGGACAAATTGGCGCTATCGAAAGAGCACGACATGTTGCACCAGGAAAACGGTCAGCTGCGCTATTTTCTTAAGCAGTACTTGGACGGCATCTCCGTAAATGAGGAAGTAATCTCCTCAAAAAATTCACTCTTTGTGGTTAATGGACGAGCCAATTTCAAGTAAGCTAGGCGGAATAATCGAAGCTATGAATACTGATATGTTGCATATGGTACGGTTGCAATGTCCTTTCGCTGCGTGTAAGTGGACTTGGTTTTGTCGTCAGGTCGACTTGGCTGGAGGCACCTTGTCTGAATTCCTCTACTGTCATATTTATAATAATTCTCAATGTCGTACTGTGGACTTTGTACATTCCCAGACGTTTCGCTGAAATCGTCACAAACGAGTCTCTTTGACTGGTTGTACCTTAGTGCTGAGCATGGTAAAGACGCACCGACAATGCCGGTGAAACATTTGGCAATGTACCAAGTCCACGATTCGACACTGAGAATTATGCTTACCACTCTAGCAGAGGACTTCGGACAAAGTGCGTCCAACTGTGTCGCCTTGACAACATGACCAAGTTGCGAAAACGAGGCTGTTTAAGTTGCCCTCCCTTTTGACTCACCTTCACTTGCACTGTCTTCTTCATGTTTCTCTGTATTGACACTCTTTTATTCGCCCACCGTTTGTTCAGCATCTCGCAGAGTCGCTTCCATCCTCGAGTCAGGTCCCTCGGACCTGTTGCCGGAGTCGAGGAGGTGAAGATGATCAGCGAATGATAGTTTTACAAAGCATGGATCAAGTGAAGCCGGTGATGGAGAATCGGCGCAAGAGGGCACGTCAACGACGCACCATAGCAACTCTCAGTTGCTGGCCCATGTTTACCGACAGAGTTATGCTGTACCTGAAGTGTAGGCTTGCGTGGACAGCGACAAAAGACAATCGCTCATTGCCTTCTCTTGTATTCTACTTGATGTCCGTCCATTTGGCTGGTTCGGCTTCACGTCCACCCACCGGACACTTCAGTTGCCCCGTTTTAAACGGCGGATGCCGAGATGGGCTCCAGGTGGGCTGGGCGAAAAAGTGTTTGATGTACCTCATTTTCCCAACTTGAGCGGAGCGACAGGAAGACTTTGTGCAACATACCCAGACCTGAGTCGGCACCGTTCATGAGGGACACCACCCTCAGCACAGAATGACAACTTGCCAAAGTGGCATGTGAAGGCAATTCCCTTGAATAATTTTCAATTTCACCTGCCACTTTGATCAATTGTAACCGTGTGCCAAGAACGACGCCTCTCACGGACAACGCCGACTTTGGTGCCGGCGAAACGTCCGACCTTGTAAAGTATCATGAATGCTATGGCAGGTACGTGGGCATGGGTATGTTCCACAAGGTCCTCCCCTCGCCTCGACCAAGCTACGAAAATGAGGTCAGGCCAACCCTATACTGCTAAAGGAGGCCATGACTAAAGCAAAGGTCACACCATCTTGGTCCTCATAGCTTGTTGAGCTTACTTCCGTGTGGTTGGTGAAAAGATTCGAAGGCCGATCCCACCAGAAGACGACGGCCGATTGCTATTGGCCAGCTGTCGGTTGGTTTTATTGAAACATTCTTGTTGATTGTGTTCCTTTGATTCCGGTGAAAACGCGCTAAGCTTTCGTCCGTCGTATGACGAAGGTATCATCTTTACAAACATATTCAAACTGACGATTCAGCTCTTTAATTTTTTCTTCATTTTTCTTCATTCGTCAGCTTGAATATGGCTGTAAAGATGAGACTCTGCTCTGAGGATGCCAATCATACGATGGACAAAAGCTTAGCAAGTTTTTTTATCGGAATCGAAGGAGGTTGCCTCGGAAACAGTCTCAACAGGAATGTTCTAGCAAAGCCAATCGAAAGATGGTCAAGAGGAATCCGTCGTCGTCTTCTAGTGGAATCGGCCTTCAAAGCTCTTCACTAGCCACATTTTCACTCGAAATGGAAGTAGGCTCAACAATTATGAAACAAGAACTCCTCGAAACCCGATTTTTTTTCGCATATACTTCATAACTTGGCCGAAACAGGATGTGTTTTGCACTGCCAGTCGATTCGGCACAGGAGAATTTGGCAAAATAGGACGATCGAGTGGAACCTTGCTTCGCAGCGTCCGGAAGCAGGGACAAAACTTGGCTGCCAGAGCCTGTCTATTTGCGGAGGCAGCAAAAATCGAGTAAGAATAAGCCGACTTTCCTGATTGTGCCAATTAAGCTTCGCTAGCAATCTAAGCAATTAGTCCTCTTCTTCTTTTCATAGACGAATTGGGGTGCATTGGCACATCGTGATCCTGACCACCTGAGCCTGATTTGTGATGTGTATGGTACAAATAGGTCAGTATTGGCTACTTCACGAGTTTTTGGTAGACGCAAAAAAGGGTCAGTCATAAATCAAGCATCTGAGGTTGGAGGTGATGGGGCAACAGCGCATGTGACAAAGATGCTGAGCCAAAACTTTTCCGACCTTATTGTCATCGAGACACGAAATGAGGACTTTCAACTTGGTAACTGAGACAATATAATGTTGTATGTTTGTTTGCTTGCTTGCGTATGTGTATGGAGGTTTGAGTTGATAAGAGTGGGACGAGTAAATGAGGCAATCATGGAGCTTCTGATCGTAGACAGCATAAGAGAGTTAGCAAAGATGATCGAGGCAAACATGTTAGGAGGGGTAGGATTGTGAAACAGTAGCGAAAGTTGTACCACAGACTGGACAACCCAGACAAAGCGGGCAGATACCTTGGTGACTTGCTAGTTGAGCTCCTGAAGACGCTTTTGTGGTCCAGCCTTGTAGCATTGCTCTGGAGAGCTCGCAAAACATCACGATTGCGTATAACAGCCTCATCAAACTAGTTTGAGCTAAAACAAGTGAGATTAGGTAAATATAGCTTCATATAAGATCTACTGGTAGTCTCAAAAACCTAATCATGCAACGAATGATGACAAATATATTGTTGAGAAGACTCTCATTTCATATGAAAGTGCGTTGTGAAGAGATTCCAAGATCAATCTCACCAGAAGAAGACGGCTTATTCTCGTTGTAGTGCAACCGTTTAACTCCAATAATTCCTTCAGATTAACCCAGTCCATGGCCAATTTTTCTCATTTCGGGTGAAAACTGGCTGAGCTTTCGCCCATCATCTGATGGACAT